CTTTTTTCCACATTCTATATATTGCTTTCTTCTGCTGCAGTTTTGCAGTTTTCTAGGACACAACGGCTCAGAAAATGTAACAATGTTTTAGGCTATAGTGATTCTTCTGATATTTTGGACTATTTGCTTTATCTTGAAATTTGAGAACCAATATTGACTTCTCAGCAAGCAGTATAAACAGGGACAGAAGTATAAAGCAGCAGATATTTAGMCCTTGAGAATCATTTAGATGCACAGAAAAAAAAATAGCTTGAAATGGCCTTTCTGATGGCCTTCAAGCATTATAGTTCTTATAGTGGGGTAAATTGGACAAATTATTCTGATAACCACATCAGGATCAAAAAGGATCAAATGCATTTCAACCTAAATATTCTAGTTCTTCAATAATAAAGGAGGGAGAGAGTGAAGTCTGAGCAGTCCATGGGCTCTTGCGCTTGAAAGTCAGGAATATTGATGTGCTAACTTGTCCATCCAGCTGGAACTGCCATGAACACCTCTGCAAACCACTATATTGCAATATGGGGGAGCCTTGCAAGGCCAGGCAAAGCGCTGGCAAATAATCATTATTGTAATTTATAATATAGAAAATAACCTGAATAAGCAGAGGAAAATCCAGTAAATTAAACAATAATGATAGGTATGCCATATTAAAACTGCATTTTGAAGCTATCTATTACACAGTGTTCATTATTCAAATTCTCATTATTAATAGAAATTTTTAATATATCTAACAAATTAAAATGAAATCATTCATGGTGCAACCTTAATCATTCCCATTGGTCTGCAGATTTCATCTCTTATTATTGGGAAGACATTGAGTTTCAGYTGTTGCTGCTGCTATTATAATTACTGTTATTATTATTGTGTCCTCACAACACATGCCTGAAATTCATGCCAAGGACATTGGAAGAGTGTGGCACTTCAGAATTAGAAGAAAAAAAATTACAAAATATATGTGTGATTCTTTGGATGCACTGAGTTTCAAATAGCTCTCAAAACTAACCAGATTTATTTTAAAATATCTTAGTAAATTAATTAATCCATGTTACATGTAATTGTAGACTGTACTTCTCCAAATGCAATTTCTAAAAGGTGTGTAAAACATTCTCAAAAGCATGAAATTCTGCACTTTAATTAACCAGCATTGCTTCACCGAAGTTGGACAGATGTTGCAAATGAGAATGCTCTTTGCCTCGCCAATACCTTAAAGAATAAAGGTTTCTCCTGCTGCCACCAAATCTGCTCTGTGCAGATGTGAGTATGAATGTCAGTAAATCTAGAAAGTTCTACAGGTTAAGTGCTCCAACCTCATGTAGGTCATCTAAATCCTGCACTTTTACATACTCCAAAACAAATTATGACCACCTGTAGGCACAGGCTTAACAATATTTTTCCCTGTTTAACCTTGTGTAACAGTTGTATCTCACCCAAAGGTAAATGGTAAAATGGTAAAAGGATATGGTAAATCACTGGAAAGTGAAGAGACTATTTTGATAAATGAGATTATGATGATGGATTAGGTTGATGTGAAGGGTTGTTCAGGAATAACTATTACAAGTCAAAAATTAGTATCACTCTAAAATGTTGATTAACTCAATATTACTAGTAGCTTTTACCTGACATTGCTAAAATTGTGTCATTTTTAAGTTTATAATAATAGTCAGGTAAATTATTTCCTCCAAAAGGAAAATAACACAAAATAATTACTAGTGGAGAAGGTAAATATCACCTAAAGACAAGACTTGTCATTCATATCTTCATTTGCAGTAAATACTTATGCTAACGGAACATGAATACTCCTTCTAGTGCTCTAAAATCACTAATTTTGTAAACTGAACAGGATTCCAGGATTGATAAGAATTGCAGGCATTCTGCTAGGTTACAAATTCCAAAAAAGCTCTCTTTCAGTGCTTCTTATCTGGACAGTGCAGCTTTCAAAGGGATTTGTACCTTCTGGACCTAGAGACATGGAGTAGCATAAATAACTCCAGCTTGCTGCTCCAAGGTAGACTAAGGAGATTAATGGACTTTTTAAAATGGAAACTGTCTGACTTCCTTTGAGGGAAAGAAAATTGAAAATTCTCTCTCTCTCTCCATATATATTTTATATATATATATTTTAGTAATAAGAGAACCCCCCTTACTATATGTGCTGGTAGAAGTTAATCAAAATAGTTCTTCAAATTGTTGTGACTGTTAACTCTATTGTTCAGGAAAATGAATGTAGACAAATATTTTTCTTTCATAAATCTGTTCTACATAAAGAGACCTCTATTATAGTGCAGAAAAGTCATGTAGACTCTGAAGACCTATTTTGAGTTATACAAGCCAGAAATACTACAACAGGCCAGCACTGTCTTGGCTAGGTGTCCCAACAGAATCTAAATTTGCAAGAGGTGACAATAATCATATTTACAACAAGTCCCAWGAAGAGAGAGAAGAAAACAATAATTAAAAAAAAAATGGATACACTGAAGAAAGCAAGAAAACACTTAGTGCAGATGATTTGAAATGGTTTGTCCCTCGGCAGGGTGCAAGCCACATTTCAAAACTTTGTCCAAACTATTGCTTCCCAATGAATCATTTAGCTCTCGCCGCCTTAAGTGACTCTGTTCCATTTTGAAATATCCTCATGAAAAAAGATGTTGATCTAATCAGAGCTTTTACAAAAGATATTTAATGTTACCAAGCTAAATCTACTAATTACCCAGTGTCACGGTTTTCTAATTGGCGACAGTGCATTAATATCCCTCTGTCCTGATCTGCATCTATTCATAAAATGCACTTCTAAGGGCATCTGTAAATAGCTGTGTGTACCTATTGATCTGCACATCAGCAGATTCTTCTGCTCGAAATAACAAAAAACGAACATACAGACTATGTCAGCCAAATATAATTCTTAATTATATTTTTAATTTGACCACTTCATGCACATACAAAATACATCAAACTCATAATGAAAAGAAGCAGACAATGCCTCCCACCATATATACAAAAAAAGCATTTTAAATAACATTGTCTGTGAACAGAACATTTATGTGTATCCTTCCAAAATACATTTTTGTCACTTTTTCTTCTTTTGTAATTGTCACAGCATTATTTAACAAGACCTTGCAGCTGTGAATTCTTAAAATCATTGTGATAGTGATGATAGCAAGGTGTAAAGTAAAAATTTTAAATTTTAATTGTAAGAACTTAATGCAGTTCTCCACACGTAACCACTGAAGGGATAAGGAGCTAAAAATAAATGATCTCATATTAAATTAGGAATCCTGATTTGCATATCACATGATTTCCACCTGCAATGTCAGAGCATGAAACAAAATTATGTTTGTTTCTTCAGGGAGAGGATCTTTTGTTTCTTTCTAATATTCCAGCCGTGACATATTTGGCACTACATACTAATAAATGAACGAAGAAAATTAAAATTTATACCTGTTGAAAAGAAGTAGTCTTTACCAGAAGAGAATTTCAATGATGTTTCAACAGTTTTGCACCAGTGATGTGAGTGATATATGGGGTCAAGTATCATCAACTGGGAATGCTGGTTCTGCAGAGATTCTTCTCCCTGCTACAGCCTTCAGTGTTAGCCCTTGCCTTATAACTAAATAAAGACAGGATCCTAACTCCAACTACATTCCTTTAAGCTGGCACTGGAAACTTAATTTATCCAGCGTCCTGTGTCAGGCAGAGGTTACCAGCTGGATGAATTCATGCAAGGCTACTCACAACGTCCATCCCCATCTCCCAGACAGTCATTCTAGTTAAGAGAAGCACAAGATAAAACAACAAGCCCTCAGATAAGTGGAGTTTCCTTGACACAACTGGATGTCTGAAAGGTTTATCTACTGTTATAGTGATCCAAGGTGATGCTCCGTTTTCTCTTCTGTGCTGTTGCTGGCACTTTGAACACTAAAGTATTTTCGGCTCTTGTGGAAGGCAGCAAAGGTCAGTGCTCCTGAAAGCAACTCAGAAACACAGTCAGACCCTCTTGCACACATCCTGTGTGTACTGAAAACACTAGGCTAGTATCCTGTATATTCTGAGGACTAAAACTCCCACTAATTCCCAATTCTGTTTGGACGTGAAATTCTCTTCATGGGTGGTGAATCCTCTGAATATATGTTTGGTAAATTATAAACATACTAGAATACTTACTCTACTTTCAATCTTAACTGAGTAGGCAACTCATATTTTTTCTTTTTTTCTTTTTTTGTCTTTCATTTCCACTTCATATTATGCTATCATGTTTCCCAAGTATCTTTAGTAGTAAAATGCTGGGTTGTCTGAGTTTTATACACCTGGTTTCTTGTACATAAATTGAGATTTATTTATTTTCTTTTTTTAAGTCTTGATAAATGTAGATATGAAGTGACTTGTAGCTCTTTGATCTCCTTTTCTGTGATCAGKCACAAGAGCAACAAAGCTGCTCTTCTGACCAGATATCACGTATCAGGAAAAGATTTTCCTGTATTAGACTGTGAAACAGTCGAAAACACAGATGCATTTTAAACAGAATGATGTTCTTAATCTACGTTAGAACCTTTTATGGCTGCATTTTACCCTCAAAGCCTATTAACAACAGAAAGCTCTACTTCATATGCTGTCTTACCACCTTAAGTGACTCCAAACGCTGCCTTCCAAGACCGTGAATTTAGTGCATGGTTACAAGTGTGTGTTGAAAGCAACCCCCCCTTGTGGCTCTGGGTAACCCTTAACTCCACACATTTCTTGAGAAAATAAATGGCAGTTTTAGAAATGCTTTGTTTTGCCACGAGAGGGCGCTCGCTTAAATCATGTCCTTGCTAAGGCAATGTTCGTTACAATAGTCATGTTTGCTATCTAAAACATTATTCCAACTTTTTATACAGATATGTTGACAAATTGCATTGTTTGTGTTGTCAGCATGCATTTAGCTTACATAAGTTTTTAGGCAATATTATTAGCCATGACAGTTGACAGTACACTGTGCTTCATAAATGTCTGGTAAGACAAATAAATGTGGGAAGGGAATTTCCCTTCATTATCTTTAGAAAGAGCAGTACACCATATTAACACATGTCATTATTATCAGTGATAAATTCAGACAGGTCACAATCAAAAGGAGAGATATTAGGATGTGCTGCCTTCACAAACATGAGAAATTTGTGAAACCAAGAAAAGATATACATTATATTTTTCATCTGTTCATGAACAGTTAGCTATTTGAACGTGCTTAAATATAGCATTAGATGCAACAATATACAGCAGAGGTATGGTCCACATAGGAGATTAATTAAAGCACTCAAAGTCTGAAGATTGTCACGTCCTTAATGTGAAACTCTGACTGTGCTGACCTATTTAGAACTAGAAGGATTCTGTTTAAAATGCTTCTTTCTAAACAGTCATTGAGAATGTACAGTATAACTTACCATAACATTTCTGTTTTTAGTCCCAATATGTTATATATATAAACCTGTGTCATTTACCAAAACCAAGACTGTTTAACCCCTCTTTCTTAAGTCCAAATAAAAATGCTCACAGTAATAATAGATGGATTTTGTCTATCAAGAGTCAGCTATATTCCTTGGCAATCGATAATGCTCTGGCCTGAGCCTTGCCTTCTTCTCCTGTGGGTTGGCATATTTCCACTTGGAAGGAGACATTTTCAGCTTTTTTCTCTTCTTATCCGTACACCACACTTTTTCACAATATTCTTCAACTCTCTGGAAGTTGCTGTAACCAATTAGTTGAAGAAACTCCTTGTACCATGGCTTTGATGTCTGAGGTATACTGCTCTGGATTGGGCATGGCATTTTGTGAGGCATCTCCTCCTCGTAGTCTTTATTGAACATTTCATCTACACGTTCTTCCTCGACTATTTCCAGGGTGATTTTCCTGACAGTGTGAACAATGCTGTGTTCCACTGTCTGACAAAAATAGGTCCCTTCATCCAGTCGGTGCAGCTTCAGAAATAAGAGGCCAAGGTCCATTTTGATTATTCTATCATCTGTCTTCACCTGAAAAATAATTGACAGATATATATATATATATATAGTGCATATAGAAGACTTTATTATTTGATTAAATTGGGATAGGAAGATTTCCTTTGGATAGGAAGATTAAGGAAACCTAAGATTCCTCAATACAAAGTCTTTTAAGTAACTAAAGCACTTATGTGAAGTTAAGAAAGAGATTAAGCTGTGAAAGAATTCTATCTAATGCACAAGAAAAGTATAGCAAATCAGATAGTTTCCTGTTTTCCCAGTATGGGTTAGTCACTCACAATCACTTTAAGTGATTCTAATCTTGAATTCACAGTCCTGAGTTTGGTGGCCATGCTCCCCCTTCAGTTCCTGAGAGCTCAGTTATTAAAACCAGAAATTCACAGGACCTAGCAAGCAAAGAGCATAAGCTATTCAAACGAGACAGTTGAAAAGCTAATATAAATTGAATACCAGCATTTCTTTTAATGGTAAGATGCTGAGTATTAGTCAGAATTCTTAGGATAATCCTCATTCTGGTGACCATATAGTTATTCATGTAAAATGGAATAACTTCCAGGAGAAAATATTAAAAGAAATCAATCGCAGCAGTATAAAGAGATACTGGAAAATAAGAGTCTGTGGTTCAAATTACGAGTCCTGGTGCCACAGATCAAGGCACTAGGTCTAGTGGGGCCTGAATATAATAGGACATTTTTTCCTCCTCCAGAAAGATTATCACAGTTCACTACTTTCTGTGAAAGGTCAAATTAATATTTTAAAGTTTACTATAAATAATAGATTAGGATCTTCCAGGTAAGTAAATGAGGAAATGCCAAACATGACAATAATCTAGGACTTGAGAAGGAATCTAGGACTTTGAAAACCTGAGTGTTTCATTTCAGAACTTGGACAAACCTTCTGGCAATTAAAAAAAAAAGAAGTGCTTTATGAATTTTGAGGATTTTGTTCAGTTTTCTAAATTCTAGATATCTATAGCTGAATGTGACACCTCTGCTTACCTTTATATTCAGTGGTTTACCTATGAAGCTTAGAATGAGTTGGTACCACTGATCTGCAGCCCTAACTAATCCAATGTCAAAGACAGGCTACAGCGATCAGCTTCACGTCTCTCTTCATTGTATATGTCCTCATCCACTGTCAGATGAACACCACTCTAGATACCTGCAGCTAAGCTGAGGTTTGATGCTCTCAGTAGAGCCTAACTGCTAGGCAATAAGACAGCCATGTCCTTTGGTGGTCTTCAGTTTTGTACTCTGATATACTGTGGTATTTTAACGGATAGTCAAATTGATGTGCATCAGATAGGTGTTGTAAAATAAGTGTAGTAAAACTTATGAAGCACTTTCATAACAGGGCAATATATATAAAAGAAGTAGATAATGTAGAAATATAGATATGTAGAAACACATATATAATAGAGGCATATAGACACCAACGTTCAGAGGGCCCTGTAATGTTAGCAGGTGAGGCAGAAAGAATGAACAGATATTAAACTAGGGATTACATTGGGAGTAATATATATATTTTTCATCTCTACAATAACACACTATAATTGATGCAGCATTTGTTTTTTGTTTCTTTTTGAGATCTAAATAACATTGAGATAATTTCTAAAAACTGTGTATTTAATCTATTTCAAGACACTGATCTCAAATTCCAGATGAAATTCTCAGGTCTATTAATTCAATACATGCATATTTCAGCAACCCATGACCATCTTCCAAGGAAGAGTTAATATTCCTCTTTTTATTGAAAAGTGAGGGCATAACAATAGTTACCTCTTCCTTTTTAGTGTCATGTGCTCGCTGGACAAACCAGATTACTTTTGCTTGCAAAGTTCTTGGGGTACATTCCAGGAGAGTGCTGTTGGATTCGATCCCATAAACCAGTCGCTCCTCGGTCTTCTCCATGACTTCACCTGGAAGGAAAACAGAGGTTTTAAAACATCCGGTCAGACTATGACTGGAAGTCAGTGCTTAGAAAGATCTTCCGTAGGAAATGAATATTTGGCTGGAAAACAGGGGAGCAAACAAAATTTCAGTATCTCACAGGATTTGGACATGGGGCAAACTGGTCAATTGTGCCATGATTCAGCTAAGATCATGTAGAGAAATACATCTCAACCCTTCACAATATCATTTGCTTGTACTTGGTTCATAAGAATCTCTTGCCTTGATCTGTAATCAGTTCAAGAGAAGAATTCAATATATGCTTAAAAATAATCACAAAATATATCTTTTTCTGGATAAAAATGAGAATGACCTATCACAATGAAACTTAATAGCTATAGCTATTATACATTAGCTATAGCTATTATATAGCTGTATATTAGCTATAGCTATTATATATTAATAGATATAAAAATTTATTTTATTGTGCATGTTCATGATGCACACATATGCAGATAGAACTTCATTTAATATGTAAAAGTATGTATAATTTTGCCCCAAGGCTGTTAATAAAACCAAGATGAACACCATTTGTCAAGACTTCATTGTGCTTTTCTGTCCATAAAGCATCTTGAAGAAGGTAAGTTAGAATATGCTATGTTGGAGGAGACCAAATGCCTCATTAATTGAATCACTTCATTCCACCAAAGAAAGAAAGAAATTATCAGCTTTAGACCTCAAAAACAGAGGGTTGAGATTATTGTGATATGTTACCTCTATTTGTAATTTAATATATAACAAATATTTCACAGTGGAATATAGTCKTCCAAAATCTACTTTACCCCCTAAGAGACACAACAGGACAGAGCTGCTCTGCAGTCTAAACAGTCATTATTCAGACTCATATGAAATGGGGGCTATAGGAGTAGGAACACGTGAGTAAATAAATAAACAAACACAGGTAATGTTATGGTACAGCACAAACTGCTGGCAAAATCTGTGCTCTCTGCTCTAGGCATTTGCTAGCAATTTGTAAACTTGTGAGTAGATTACCAATGAACTGCTGGCCAAAGCACTGCTGTGCTGCATTTCCATGTCGAACATCTTGTCTGCGGAAACGTCTGGTGGGAAACAAAAACAGAAATTGTTTGAAAAAACATGCTTAGATTACAGATTGCTGGATTTATACTGAATTTGGTTGCATTCGTTCAAAAACAGGAGCTAAACCCAGGTTCCTAAATCTTCTGCATTACTGTGAGATATAAACATTTATACATTAGCATTTTCCCTTTGCAATTACATTCCTGAGGAAAAAAAAACACTTTTCTGAGGAAAAGACATAACTGTGTGGCCACTGTATGAATGCCTATATTGAATCTAAGAAATACTAAACCAGGTCCTCTGAGCAATCTGTGTATCATTCAATACTTTCAATACTAAGAAAGGTCAAAGGGATTTTTAGCTTGTCTTTGGGTTCCCTCAGTCCAGAGGCCAAGATTATATATGTATTTATATACATATATTTAATTTCAAATAGTTTGCAGTGTATGTGAATCACGGTTCTTTTATCATAGGTTTTTTTTAAAAAAAAAAAAAAAACCAAAAACTTGGTAACCACAAATCACAAAGGAAATACTTTATTATATGTGTAGCAGTTGTTAAGCTTATTTTTATCCATAGGGTAACAGACATAATAATGAATTACCCATGCTTGTAAATTGAGCTGGTGGTAGATCTGTGGTCAGAATCCAGAGGTCTTCTCTGCAACCTGAATGCATTAATGCAATTGCTCTAGAGGGAAAATTTGTTGTGGTTTTGGGGTTTGGTAAACCATAATTGTACAGTGACTTCCCAGAAGAATTATGCTTTTCTATGGCAATTTTGTCCATCTTCATAAATAAAATTAAGATTGATTAAAAGAGAGAAGAAAAAACCTATTGAGATGCTCAGGCCTGTATCTTGCTAGAGGTAGAAATACCAACAATCTAAATGCTAGAGTTATAATGAGGATATAATATATAATAAGTGCAATTCTACAATGCAGTGTAGCAAATCTTATAAAACACAGGTAGTAAGAAGCCTTGTTTAAACCACATATGAGAGAAATAGGCAAAGTCAAGCAGCTTTGGTTTATTTCTTTTTATTTACTACTTACTTAGTACTTTTCCTAGCTGTTTGAGGACACAAGAGGCAGTTTATTAGCTATTAAATTAGATAATATAAGTATTATCTCCTATTATACGTACTTATAGGTAGTGATTATTAGATAATACATGTGTTATAATATAGCTGCCTGTAGGGAGTGATTATTTTCTGAATTCTGCCATATAGATTTGTGATCAAGAGAACTGCTTCAGCCTTTACCGATATTCAAAGAAGGAGAGCCAACATTTGGCCATTGTTTCAAAGAAGTCTGCAAATTCAGTTGAGACTATGTTGGCTCTTTTAGGCAGAAGGGCTAAAAATACATACATGTTGCTAAGTGAGAGCTGTGATTCAGAGATAGTAACAGGATTTTATCGTGCCCTGGGATTTCTCGCTTTAATGTCTGGATGTGGCAGCTGCACTTACTGATAATGCTGTAGAGTATTAATGCTGAATAATGCTGGCACCAGCTCTGCAGAACTGTGTACACAGATTATGCAGGAGAGACATTCTTGTGCACAAATATGCATAAATAGTATAGACATTAGCCTTGAGAAAACAAACAAGAAAACCCCACTACTGTCAGTTCCAGCAGCCCTGTCTGTCAGGAAAAAARACATTTAGCAGGCGTGTACTATTTGTTCTTCTTTTCCTAAAGATCAATGTAGACATGGGGAAAAAACCCTGCTCCTGTAAGGTTAGATATTTCTACATTTGCTAGCAATACTCAGGAGGAAAAACCATTTGTTTGGTGACATTTTGTTGTTTTAGATACTAAGTTCCAGAGGGAACACATGTCATCACTTTCTACTTTTTTAAACAAGAAGAAAAATGAATGGTAGGAGCTGTAAGACAAAGAGATAAAAGGAGATATATTTAACAAGCACTGACATAACCCCAGCATTTGTTATTTTTTCTTAGAAAATCATTTCATTCAGAATTCCATGAACAATAAACTACCAGATAATGCATGAGATACACTACTGTAAGGAACAGTTCTTCAGTGGCTAACAAACGTACTGGATATATGGGAGTATGTTTTGCAAACTTTAACTTCGAGAGAATATTTCAGTCAGTAACCCTGCACTTTCAGCAACTTATTAAAAGCGATGTGCCAGAAAGCAAGGTAGTTATCATAATTGTCACCATCCTCATGTTTATTATTTCTTCCACAATAGCAGCTATTAAAGCAGCTACTATAGTAGCTTAGTAGCTTTAGTTAGTACAAAATTGCACCGATTTAGGAAAAAAAAAAAAAGTTTTTGGAGTTAAATCAGTATATGAGCGTTGGTATTTCTGAACCAAATATTAAAATTGATTAACATAGGGATTGACACAGGCTGTTCTGTAAGGCATTTAATTTGGATACAACGTGTAATTCAAGACCAAGAAAATTTAAAGTTAAACTAACGCTTAAAAATTCGCCACCTGGCGGTCAGAGACCATCACCGCAGGCTGAGATCCCAGCAGCGGGGCTTCCAGGTAGGAAGACATGTGAGAGAAAAGAAATAACGAAATAACGAAAGAAATAACGAAAGAAAGAAATAACGAAAGAAAGAAATAATAAAAGAAATAAATAACGAATGAACGAAAGAAAGAAAGAAAGAGCCTTGGAAGAGTCTTGGGGAAAAGTGAAAATTCATCTGTAACTTTTGTAGATCCCATTAGGAACTAGTGTGGGAGAGAAGGCTGTCTGTGACTGTCTTCAGATTAGCCATAATAACACCTTACCAGATCTGCCCAATTTGAAGGGCTGTGAGCTGGCAAATCAAAGAATCTCATTGTAGAATTGAATGCTGCTTTAGATTACAGCTGTAATAGTGAATTAAAGTATTAATCAAATACATTTGGACTCCCAGGCATACTTCACAAGTTGGTGCAATATAATTCTCTTCTTGCATCTTAACTATTTGCAGTATGCTGAAGAAGTCCACTTGTAGCTACCATGACAATGTAGCATGACATAGGGTCAGTGTGTGGAATTCTTGACTTGTTCTTTTTATTGCTTCAGAAATTGCTTGAGAAATGTGTTGCTTCACATTTCTCAAAACACTTGTCATATCTTGTGGGCATATAGGATCTAAAGCAGATAGCAGTGACTGAGAGGACTGCAGGGATACATTGGGTTAAAATACGTCATGTATTCATGTACTGTTCAGTAGTTGGACTGCTCTTCTTAAGAGTGCAGATGAGAGCTCTTACCAAGTGCTCTTACTGCACTAGCAGGACTGCTTTTTACAATTCAAAAGCCATCTAACTGCACTGTACAAGGGCCACATTTGGCATGATATAAGAGCAGGCAACAAGCCTAATGGCCTTTGCTCTCATGTTACTGCATTTTACAGCTTGCCTAGAAAGCTGGGACCAGGAACATAGCCAAGTCACAAGTCAAGATTCATGTCAGAGGCCACAKCTCTTCAAGCTGTGGAGTTAATAGTGTTTGGAGCACACAGTAGCCATGCTGGGTTATCTCCTGCTCAGGGTGGTTTGATATCAGAAAACTCCATGTTGTCTCCTGGGAGCTGCCTTTTCTAGAAGGTTTCTCCTTGAACCCAGCAGGATTCTTCCATACATGGGTCYCCAGAAGCTCTCCCTGCCTCTCCCTTTATTGCACATCAAATGTAAGGTCCTAAATATAAACTGTTCTGAACTAATAGCTGCCTAAAGTGAAAAAAGACAGTGCTGCACGTCCCTCCCAACAGCATGAATTCTGCTACCAGCTTCCTTAATTCCTATATATAAAACAAGTTTTGCAGATTCCAGGAACAATTAATGGAGTGCAAATCCCTTCTCTGCTGCTGCAACTATTATCTTAAGAGAAGGGAGGCGATAACAGCAGGAGTTTCTTCTTTTAGAGCCTGACCTGCTGAATGCTGTTGAGGTAACGCAGAGGAAGGTGCCTGAGGTACTGCTCATATCACCCAGCCCTGGATAAATGAGCGTGTCAGGGAACTTAAGGGCTGCAACTCTGGAATCTATCTTAAGTGAGAAATATGCTAAAAATGTGCAGCTGAGCTCAGGAGCTAGTTGGTTTCTCTTATCTTTTCTTAAGCAATAAATAGCCTGGAGAACAACATAAATGGGGATTGCTGTCCTAGYAGTCTGTTAGGAATCTTTTTACCCCCTTTCCAAAATGGCATTTACATGGATAGATGAGTAATTTCTATGCATTTATGGTAATAATCAAATTTCTGCTTATACTGGAGGGAAACAAGTCTCCCTGGCCCACTGTGTGGCAAATTATCTCTCTTTTTTCCTGCTTAATTCTGGGGCCTGAGAATGTGAGCCAGGTTGCTCATGTTATGTGTGCCCATAGATTCTACTAGGTCTGCTTGCAAGAGGGTATGTAAGAAGTGCAAAAGTGCCTGCAAAAGTGGAGTGGATTTTCAGCTTGATTTATTTTATAACTGGCACAATGGTAATAACTCAGATAGGTTCTCAGTTATACTGAGCCACTGACTACCTTTTTCATTTTGACTTTTTTAATATGCCCTATACAAAAAGTTGTGTTACACAATCTTTCYTCTGTTTATTATATTTTAGAAAACCCAAAGAAATGCCTGTTGTGTCTGGCTATAATCAGTGCTGTGTTTGTTTGCATTCACCAAGCATCTAGGTTCGTGGAAAGATAAGGCCTGCATGACAAAAAAAAAAACTTTTCCATTTTTCCTTAAGAAGAAAATGATTGATTCAGGGATAGTGTGATTTCCTTTTGAGTGAACTGTTTCCACTGGTTTTCAGAACTGTCTCTACACAAGAGGAGTTACTCAATTAAATCTAATCCTTAAAGTCAGGATGAGTGACTCCATATAATATGTAAACATGTAAATCCATGCAATACAGAAGTAGAAGAAAAGACCTGAATTATTCAAAATCAAATTGCTGGCTGAATTTTAGTTGGAAAGSTATCTAATAGTCATGGAAAAAGGACTCGGTTAAACAATATGTTTTATATGGTTTTATATATATGATGTATCTCCTGCGTAATACAACCAAAATATACCTCTAACATTGCAAAGAATGAAGCATCCATCTTTCTTATGCTCATCTTACATCTGTGGATATGAGGAAGTTGAGTTTTTTTAATGTTAACTGCATAATAGTGACAAATGATGACTTGGAAGTAAATTTCCTTCATTCATAAAGAAGTTCCTAGTACTTTGGTATATATCATAATTTAGACTCCTGCAGTTCTCAAAGGCTGGACTAATAAATCATTAGCTAACAAATCCTTTCACTGTTCAGTTATATGTGTGAGATGGAGATAGGTAATCATTTGTGTTTCAATAGGAGCTCTTTATATTTGTGTTAGGATAAAACGATTTCTGCAGGAAGAAGTAATTCTCACCTCTTTGCCTGAATTCCTGTAGGATAATATCGGGAACAAGATATGCCATCCCAAGCACAATAAGGATCTCGAGCAAGACAGCAGTCGGCACAGGCTGTACCGTACAGGTCACACTGATGGAACTTGACTTGTGCTATGACTGACTCAGACCCAACATAGAGCTGTTGCTGTAGAAAATATAACACATTCAGTTAATCTCTTAAAACTTCTGTTACTGCTTTCTTTTTCCCTGAAACATTTATATATATATATATATATATATATACACACACATACACACACAAAAATATAGTTGCTTGCAACTTGTGCATCCACTGTGTACGCTAAAGGAGGAAGGGTTATTCTGTAAGAAAACCTTTAATTACAGATGAATTCTTGTGCATGAGGACAAAAAAGCAGAAAGAATGTTAAAAGAAAGTCTGTTTTATAATTTCCTAGCTTCTAAGTTTCAGATTTCTAAGGTAAGCATCTGAGTAGTGAGGTTTTATATTTGCATTTCTCCCTCATTGTAGTTTCCTGTGTCTCTTTTCACTTGCCTGTGACATAATCAATCTGAGAAGGTAACATGATATGAACAATTTTAATCAAAGAAGTTCAAATATACCAAAATTATAAACCTTAAAATGGGAGTTATCAGGTAAAATCAACTGTTGATGTGGTTACTTACAATGTAGGAACATATTCACATGCACAGTAGTATTGTGATTTGTATTATCCTTAAATATACAAATTATAGACAGGCTTTTTCTTTATGGTACTGTGAAATATTTCTATGCAAATGGACTGATTCATTTCTTCATCAAATTATTTCATTTTTTTCCAGCACTAATTTTAAGTCTCTTTCAATTTTTTCAAGTCACATCATTTTTCTATTCAAAGTAAATGAAAGATGATCAGTCTGATTCATGAGACACTGACATAATTAATTCAGGAGAAAATAGCTTGAATTTACAGGGAATTTGAGAAAAATCTTGCTGGTAAATGTAAATGGAATAAATACAGAAATAAGTAGTGTTCATTGCAATGCAAACTACATGAACATTGCTTATTTTCATGGTATGCCAGTTAGAAAAAGGACTCCTAATGGATACTACATTATGTTTATTGTAATCACCAAACTTCCTCTCTAATTCTAACCTTGAAACCAAGCTTTCAAAGTTTTATGTTTTATAATTGTTTAAGGCTGGAAAATATACATAGGCCATTTAGTCTGACCTGCCTATTCCAAGACATGAAATTTAATCCAGATATTCACTTCTTGTTCCTAATTACACCTATGTTTCTATGTTTGTTTAGGCCATAAAATTTAAACTCCCAGAAATGACAGAGAAAAAGGAGAGACTTATAAGAGCAATGCAAGCAATTCAAGAGGAATTAGGAATCCTTCTTGCCTGTAAAGCTTGCAATATGACTGTCCTAAAAGACATGTGCAATACTTTCAACGAAACAAAAAAGCTGAGGTTTTCTCTTTAATCTCTTAGCAGTGGTAAAGTCTACCTTAACTATTTGTTCACTAGAGGAGAGAAAGAATTGTTCAAAAACTCATTGCTGTTTCAAGTGCAGTTTCAAGTCAAGGTCCTTACAACCAGCACAAATGATAAGGTAGAGAAGCTAACTATAAACTTTTTTAAAATTATTTTTTTTACCCTCATAAACACAATTAAATCATACTTTCACTCACAGATCTAATTTTGGAGACCCAATGATTGGTGCCAATCCTGACCCTAGGAGGCATTCCAACATTTAATTTAATGCAACCTATTTCAAAAATAAATTCATTTGATGAGCAACTTGAACTTGTTTTGCTGTTGCTTTATTCCCAGTGCTGAAGAGCCTCTCCTCATACACACAGTAGGAAGCCATTCTGATGGCTGACACTTTATATCTGGCTATTTGTTTCTCTTTCTTTTTCCACTTTGATATCCTGGAAAAAGTTAAACTGCTTTAACGTTTCACAAGAAGTTTTATTCTTCAGCCAGTGATTGCTATGTGGGAGAGAATCTACAATTCTCTCCAGAATTTCTATAGTATATAGTATTTCTAGTACAGTTGGTAGCAGCAGCCCTTTCATGAGCTGGATGCAATGGAAAGAGATTGCCTAACTTTTCATGCGTCATTTCCTTTTTACACTTCCACCACACACATTTTACAAGTAAAGGAAATATCTAAAGCAATACCAATAAAATATTGGTATTCTCCAAATAATCACTTAGACGCAGTATTGGACAACCTTGTCTTCAGAGCTCCTTCCACAGTCCATGGAAAAAATATAGATTCTTCCTAAATTATTCTAAAATAATTCAGAAAATAAAAAATTAGAATCATCCTAAGAGAAATTTATCTTTCTACTTTAATATGGAAAGAATATGAAGCAGTAAACCACACAGACAGAACTGATTTGTTTGGGTACAAACCTCCTCCTGTTAAAGCAATCTTCATTTTGTTACTTGCATGTATTATATTCACCTAATGTTACAGTAGATGTACATACACCAGATATAGTCATCTGATGTTACTGTGGATGTCTGGAACAAGATAATAATGAAAATCTACCTACAAGAGTAATAAAATGAGGTATTTGTGTTAGACTAGCAGAAACTCAGCCACAATGAATTGAATCAGAATGGACCTGCCTTTCATGGGAATCCAACACTGAACATGTGAGAGTGCCAGTAAGGATCATTTTGCACTGATATCCTTATTGGCCTGAATTTAGTCTATCTGCATTTATCAGCAAGGATCTCCTCCTAGATATTCTGTAACCACCAAGTTAATCTCTGCTGTGGTTACCATGCCAGTAACTCATTAATCAGATACTGCTTTTTTTCTTGCTTTGAAATGAATAATAGTTTGAAATAAGAAGATTTAAGCAGTTGTAACATTAGACCTGAAAAACATAAGGGTTTCACAAAGAAACAGAGCGTGTTAACTCTAAGTTTATGTAACAAAACATCATTAGACTGGATCTCCTTACTCTACTGTTTGTCAATTTCTATATATTTTATAATTTTATTATGCAAGAGTTGCACAATCTTGATATTTTAAACTCATCAAATACTTACCCTTTTTGAAGAGATTTCCATAGAAATAATGGGAACTGGCTCCTAGGAATTAAGAAACAAATGCCTTTTTAGCATGACAATAAATTGTATGAAATTGTGTTGATGATGATGATGATGATGATGATGATGGTGATTAGTATTATTACATGCAGCTCAGGTAAATGCTTTAATTTTCTCCAAGTTCTGATGCTACCGGAAAGTATGAGGAAATTGTGTTTTTGAAAACTTTTGCTTTAAAGGAGTTTATTTAAAAATCAACCATATAACACCTGTAATTCAAGATTATCCAATCCACAGAAACACTGCAATGTTCCTGTCAAATGTGACATCAGTTCTTGCCACTGCTAAATCCTTCTTATGCTACTTGAGAGTGATAAGTGGAGTGTTCTTTATAACAAAACATTCACTGAAGATAAGATAAATATAGTAGGAATTCCTTTTCTTAGCATTTCCTCTTTGTCTTCTGCTCATATTTCCTCTGGCAAAGGCAAGACTCAGCCCTTAGTAGACATATTGAAAACAAGCTTTATCAAGAGGAGTAATTTCACTGATTACTCCCTRGATGACAGATCCACAGACACACTGCCTAAATTCAGGTTGCTGTCAAATTCAAAAATCTAAATTTGGATGTTAGGACTTGCTTGTGAAGTAAAGTAATTAAGCTTCCTATTTTATATGATTTTACATGGCATGAGGTGTTGTGAATACTTGCTATAAGGATTTCATTGTATCACATGGGCCACATGCCAAATATTTAGGTCTAGTCATGACCAATGACTAGCTAATAGAATGGTGGCTTATCTTAGTAGGATTCTGTTTTTCCTACAGTAAATACAGCTAACTAACTCACCCTTTTTGGACTTTGCACTTTTTCTTGCTGGAATTGCATTAAGCTTTCAAGATTCTAGGTAAATGTTTGTGTTTGCAATTGTATCCTTTTAAATACTTAATTGGTTATGAAGGAAAAAGAAATAAAATACAGTAAGTTTCTAATAAGAAATTTCGCTACAGTCTCAAGTGTTTAAACAGACTGCTTCAGTACTTGGGCTGCAACTCCATTTCAGAAAAACAGAACAGTACAAAATGAAAATTTCCTAAAACTAGCCATAAAACTGCTAGATTTTTAGATGGTTTATTCATACAGTTATTATTCTCTTAACATTAGACATTTTAGTTTAGAAGGAAATTCGAACAGTGGTGTATATGATTCATATATAGCACAATGCACCTTGAATACTTGAAGCTCTTCAAGAATCACTTCTTCCATTGATTCTGTCTCTTGATTGTAAATTGTAATGACTTTCAGCACAACTCCATTATCTGCGAAAAAAAAATGTTAGTGGTTATAACTAATGGAAACTTTGAAATGGCCTTAAACAAATATAAAAATAACTACTTCAAAATAATAAGCTTACARATAAATATAATCTGTTACTTATTAATATTACTCTCACTAACAAGAGTTCATACTCTTAGAACACAGACATGTGACAATGTGTAAAACAAGACCCAGAAACACCGTGACATGCCTAAAATGATCAGGCAAATAAGAGAGTGAAGAATATGGTTTAAATGTTCCTGATCTCCACAATTAATTTACTAGTATTTGTCAAACTTGGGGTGATAACTCTTTGGTGATCTGCAAAGTGAACAATGAGGACAATAGTGAAGTGAGAGCAAAGAGGAGCTCAGTTCCATCAAGACAGRGAAGTGGAAAATGGGTTTAATTATAGGAGCTGAGATCTGATTTAATGCTAGTTAGAAAACTGCTAACTATCCTTAATAGCTGGTAGCAGCTCCACACCTCCAGGCAAGAGTACGAACACCTTCAGGGGCTCATTACAGGGGGTTCTCACTCCCTCACTAAGGATGCACTGAGGTGTTATTGAGCAGAGCTTGTTAGTCAAAGAAAGATGAACCAGAAAAGAGCTGCACTTTCAAAATTTTAAGAAACACTTAAGTTTGGATATTTCTCTCTGTCAGTACAACTCTGTTACAGGAAATTAAAAAGCAAGAACAGCATCTGGTCTTCTACCACTTCAGTTTTGTCTTGATGACTATTAATAGCCCTGCTTTCCTTAATCTGAAAATCTGTCATCAACTATGGCAAATATCACTTCCTCTCTTCTATTATTTTCAGTTATCTTTGATTTACAGGGGAAATATTCAGCAGACAAGAAGACTGGGAAGAAACAATTCAGCAAAAGATCAAAGGGACAAACTTAAAGAAGAACTGTTAAAAAGTGGGGTCATATACCACTTCTCAAAGAGCAAATGTAATAAAGGTATCTGTTTTGTGAAGGGACAGTTAAAAGAAATTGCATTCGAGTTTAAATATTCATAAGTCCTGTTCCAATCCTGTTAGGCCTAGCATTCAGACTTCTCCTTTTATAAGCCTTTCTAATCTATACGGGTAGAAGATTAAATCTTTCTAATATTCTAATACCAAAGGAACTCCTGTTGTTTTGTTTTTCATGAGAGTTTTGCTGGTAGATTACAGGATTTGTATTAGATTTTCTAAAGCCAGAATTCCTATGTTGGAATTTCTTGCCACCTGAGATTAGACATTTCAAGAAGTCTAAGCAGCTGTTAGGCACCAGTTCAACAAAGCTCCAAAGCACATACTTAACTGTAAAGAGTGGTGCTATTTGTTTCAACTTTGTTCAACCGAGGACATGTACAGAAGTAATTGATACAATATCTCTGTCATAAATGCAAGGGTGAAATATGAAAAATCTGGTGACTGTTATAAAATCTGGTATCTAGAGACATAAGTGATAGTCTAGTCTGTAAGAGTTTTGTGTTTTTAGGGCTTAATAAGGTAGAGAGATTAGCGAAAGTAGATGATATAGTATAGCATAGGGCACCGCGCTCGGAAGATCTCGTGATGTCACGGGAGTTAGGTGCATAATTAATTTATGCAGTTTACTGATAACCCCATGCCATACAAGGCGAAAAGTTGAAATTAGTCTGCCGATTGGGCAGTAGGTGAGTCTCYGCATTCAGCTGGAGTATATAGGCAGACTGAACTATGCAATAATCGCCATTTTGCCGCATCCCCCATAGTGATATCTGTGCTCTAGGGCCCTGGGGTGAGGACAACCCCAGGTCAGTCCAGCTAGTGAACAAGGCTTGCCGACCCCCGTCGGCAACACTAGTCTTTTAGACTACATATTGATTCCAATATTTAAAATGCTTATAAAACAGTATTAATATAAATCAGCTTTTGCTATTCTGCAAACATGCTTGTTTTTCAACACTCAGATATGCTTACTAGATGAATTTTTTTAGTAAAAAAAAAATTCACTGTAGGAATGTTCCTTGGCAAAGCAATTTGTGACACCATTCCTGTTATTAAACTGATAAATGTGAATATATGAATCCTGGGATACTTTCCAGATAGTTTAGATGTGACCACATTCATACCTAGTTCCAGGCCTTCCTCTTATTTTCATATGTATTATTTTCTCACATACCTTCACTGACTGCTTAGTATAAGGGCAGTTCTGTGACATATTTGACCTTATTCACATTTGTTTGGTAAGTGTTTAAAAATAATCCTCTTTAAACAAGGACTACATTTTACAAAAACAGTGAAAGAGAAGGAAAAGAAATCTGGGCAGAAAGCTTCTAACAATTTCCTTTTGAACCGTAAACCTGGGGATTGTCTCCTTCTGTTCCTGAGCTGTGTCATGCATAATGCAGGTTTGAAAGTTGGCATTTTGTTTTTAACATTATCAGCTAGACTTGAAGTTGTCAGACTTGGGGAAGACAAACTTTGGAATAAAGCCAGCAGTTTGCAGGTCTATTTTTGAAAATTGTATCACTTCTTTTCTCCTGGAGTCTCAGCTCAAAATTGAGCTATGCTCAATTCTGCTGAACTGCTTGTCTTAAGTTTTAAAAATAAATCTACTTATTTAGGAATTGAATTTAAAATCCTATTAAAAAAAAATTAATTGTATATTAAATCTGCCTTCCTAGTCTTTTCAGTTGTTTTTGATTCTTGCTTCCTATCATTATTTTTTGTGTGTAGCTTTAGATATATACTTTGACCTTTTTTGTATGCTATCACTGCAGTGAATTGTATTTCTGGAATGACTGATCTCTTTTGTAAGGCAGCTAGTGAAGCCAATGAAGACTAGCTTAGTCATGCAAATAGTGATTGTTTAAAATAAATGCTGTCTTTATCATTTCTGGACTGTGCACATTCCAAAGTTCAGAAAGTTATTGCTTTCTGTAATTCTCTTAATTTTCTTTAATTTACCTGTACCAATAAACAAGACATCATATTGCCCATCTTCAGCTTCCACTCTGTCCACTGCTATTTGCTTAAGATTGTACTTTCCATCTGTTTTAACTAGTATTGGTCTCTTATGAACAGGCTTGATAGGCTGATACATCAGTGGATGACTCCTTGCAAAATGGACAGCTTCGTCAGGATAGTCTTTGGTGGTAGTGTACAGACCACCATTTACTTTGCTGGCACACTGTAAAAACATAAAACACAGATTATCCCTGTGGTTTGATAAATAAATTGTCAGAGACAAGTGCAGTTTTCCAGGGTAAAGACAACTGTACATGAATCCTAGCATAAAAACTACAGAAAACTACAGTAGGAACTGGGATAGTAAAAGCCCTTGTGCTTTTATGGATGCATGGTTCTTAACGATAAGAAACAGAGAGAGGAAATGATGAGTTGAACTTTGTCATTCTCATATCAAGGGAGAGCCATACTAAAACATACTAAAACCTTATATTTGACCTCTTTTTTTTTTTTTTGGTCATATCTCTCCCTCAGTGCACAGATTCTAGACACATAGCTATTATCACACTCTTCAAATGTAAGTATGAACAACAAGAATGCAAAGAAATAAAACACCCCAAATTTTATGGAGGAACTCTTAATTATACACACAAGGTCTATTGATAACTTAGGGAGACAGTGAGGTCTATACAACAACGTCAGTCACATTTTCAAAAGAATTCTTTTGTTTAATTTTTTTTTTTTATTTTATGAAGCTATTCTAGGGGTGAAATTTTGAAAATTGATACATTTAAATATTCACAAAAAAAGAAAAAAATAAAAAGGCATAATGTTTATTTCTTCCTCAAATCTTTTTACTATAAATCAGTTAGGAGAAAGGAAAAAGGAAAAAGTTATGTGAAGACAGCAGAATGATGATGCTTGTAATCAATCTCTGGTTTAGTTAGCTTTGACTGTGAAATGTGTCACCGTAAGAAATTAAGATGATGCCAACAGCAACAGTAATTCTTGATCTCACAACTTCTAACAGTTATACATTTAATTCCAATTCCTAACACATGAGGGCAGTATTATATATCATAGTTTAGCTTGAAGTCGCAGTGTTTGCCTCGATCAACTTACCATTTTGCAAAACAAATACACTTTATTTCAATGATTGATTGATTAAAAGATGTTTACTCCTTTGGTCAAATGTGCAATTTAGGGATAATTTAATGTGTTAGACATAGAAGCTAGTTTAGGATGCTTTGTAAAGGATGGGATATAGAGTTCCCAGATGAATATTGATTCTACATTTCCAATCTGCCTCACAATGTCTAATTGAAACCATTTATGATCAAGCTGGAAATATCTCAGTAACTATTTACATTCACATTTACAATGTGGTTTTAAGAAGCATTTCAACCAAAGCCACAGTAGCAGACTCTCCATATTTAAATGGGATTTTCAATCAATAAAATGAAATAAAATACTCTTTATGTTTACTGGAAACAGTAATTTTAAACTTGTGGTCAACTGTAATTGACAGTAACAAACCCCTGCACTTGTCAAGCGGGGCACTGTTTGTTTCCAGTTTTGAGGCCTAACTACAGAAAAGTATTTGTTCACTGTTGACTTTGAAGTAATTGTCTAATCAACCTAGTGATGGAATTTCACCAGCTGTTTGTAATAAAGAGACAGAGTTTGAGCATGAAGACAGGCTAAATCTCTGCTTTCCATGCGCCACACAGTGAATAGGCATTCAAGACATTCACCATTAAATGAATATGCATTGCCGAGTTCCCTTGCAAAGTTCTAGCCCTGGAGAGATTTAAYATAAATGATCCTTCACAGGCTTTTCATTTTTAACAAAATAAAGCTTTTTTAATTTTTCTTTTTCTAGAAAGTAACCAGCAGCAGCCTCTGAAGTATATCAACACCATTTTTGAGGTAACTAATGACATTGTCAAAAGCATCACAGTCTATGTACACTAAGTGAATCAGTAGAGTAGGAATCTGGATTATGGGAGAAGCAATGCTTCCAGCAGACTTTAGAGAGGGTCAGATAGCAAAGACTGACAAACTGTGGTTTCCAATTTATTTAGCTTTAAGCTCTTTTCTCATCATTTGCAGACTATCTTTCCCCATTCATTCGCTAAAGTCAAAGAATGCTGGCTCTTGGAGATGCCTAACCATAGTTTATTTTTGGTTCTTTGTCATTGTCACTCATATTTAATTGGGAAAGGCTTCTGTTTACCCCTGTGCTGACCAGTTCTTTGGAGTGTGAAACTCAGCATTGTGGTCTAGAGCCCAACACAAACTCTGTTTTCATTCTACTGGTTTTAAAAGACCTCTAAATCATGCCCTAAATGAGCAGTGAAAAASGAATGAAAACTCTGTTCACTAAGGCTGGCTAGTCAACTAGTCCAGTCTCCAGTTTACAGAGACACATATTATTAAAGAGACATTACAGAGACAGGTATGATTAAATTGACTACCACTTGGGAGATATCTGGTTCCACAGTTTGGTCACTCAAAAATATATTTTTTTTGTATCAGTGTTTAAACAGGAAATCAATAATTCCTTTGAGTTATCCTGTTTTGGTCAAACATTACTTATCTATTTTTCTATACTGACTCAATACCCATGGCTGACTTTGATCCACATCAAAAAAAGGAAAAAAAGCATTTGGTATTTGCTTTTGTGGTATGAAAAGTATTTGGTATTATTATAGTGATAGCTTAYTAATCAATGTGGTTAAATCATATTTATAGTGATTAAATACCAGATAAGCTCTCTTGGACCATTYTTTTATGCATTTTGACATGTGCCTTTAACCTCAAGAGAAGCAGAGAAAAATAGTAATTTAAAATGAAAGAAGATGTGTATTTAAAATCATGCTACAGGGAGAAAAGCTGTATTGTCATGGTCAGTAGATAAGCTAATAGGCCTTTCACCTCTCATTCCTGTGATTCAGTGATGAATGACTTGCATATATTGTTTACTTATGCATATGATTGTTTTCAATATAAAAGAGAATATTAATTCCATTAGCAAGCAAAAAATAATATCAGAATTAAAGCTCCAACAGCTATTTATTCCACCACTAAGCTCTAGAAAACAAACTCCCAGCCTACCAGAAGATAAAGAGGTGAAGTGTGAAAGTTGTATGTGGGGTTTAGACAAATAGCTGTTAGAAATGTCTCAGCACCTCAAAGAGCCAAGAATCCTGAAGGGTGTGGGGAGAAGAAGAAATCTCCAATCTGATTCTTCACTGGGTTATTCTGGAATTGCCTACTGTGATTCCTTTGCCTTTGGCAGGATTCCTTATGACTTGGAGCAGGAAGCAAAAAGTGAGGGAGACCCTGGCTGTGCCTGACCTACGAGACAGGTCTCTGCAATGCAAAGAGCACCCTCAAGTACCACTGATAGGCAGTGGCATGCAAGACTGCTCTACTCACACCCGGTCCGGGTGAGAATCCCTGGCTAAGATATTTCTGTGATTAAAGCTTCAGAAACACCTAAAAAGAGGGGGAAATAGAAACAGAGCTTGAGATGAGGATTATGTCTGATGCCTGTGAAAAATCAACATAGACATTAGAAATTCCTTGTAGAAATCCAGTACTTCTGTAAGTAATGTCAAGTGATTTCCCCCAGAAACTCTATTCACAAACTGAAGCACGTACACACYAAAACAATTCTTCTGACAAAAACTCCTGTATAACTTCATAGTATCCCGTAGAAAATGCCAGCTGAGTTGTATATTCAAAATATGTCTTGTTTCTTTTCTTCRTTTACTTTTTTTCCACCCAGGAAAAAAAAAAAGTTTATAAAGAAACTTATGTGAAAATTATGGAAAGCCTGAGTGTTTTTGCTCAGGAATCTGATCTGGTGGTCACAAAATCTAACTCACTCATATCTCTGACTAAAGCAACGTATTTTGAACATGCTAGATCATTACTTCTAGAAAGAACCAAGCTTGATAAAAGGTTCTCCGATGTCAGAGTATTTGTCCCTTGCCTTAGAAAATGATTCTTCTGATTAGTTACATTTGCTAAAATCTACATATAATTTTTATTCTGTGCACTGATCTAATTTATGGAAATGTGATGCTTTCAAAAAGAAGGTGAAAAAAAGGAATCGGAACCAAATGATTTAACAACAGAAAATTATCCTTCCTTTCTCCCTGCTTTAACATTTTCTCATTTTGTCACAAACTTCCCCGGTTTGGTAGACAGTAGAAAGAATTGCCTTGTGTAAGTATCTTCCTCTGTATCTGAATGTAGCATCTGATAAAACTTCTAGAGATGACTCTCCTGCCTATTACCTAAGATCCTAACTTTGGTACCATAGGAACTTATCACAGAACTCCAGCAGGATTTTGAAAAACTCTATATACTTAACTTCTATGATTTCCTTTGTGAAAATCTATGTTACAATGACTGATAGAATTTACTGCTATTTCACACAATTCCATAAATACTAGAATATACATATTTTCAAATACATATATCCTAAACTGTGAAATCAATAAGATTTTTATATTAGTACAAATTAGTTTATTCTTTTCTTTCCAAATTCACTTACATTAACAAAACAATAGAGAATAGATTGTACTTACTGAACCAGGTCTAGGATAAGGTACTTTTCCTTCATATAAAGCCCAATGGTATTCTGGTCCTTCTTTATGAGCATATGGTCCATTGAAAGCTGCTCGAACACTTGCCATATGGTAGACACATATAGCATATCCTCTAAATATATTGCTGTAAAATAAAATTCAAATACATTATTAAAGTAGCATGTCACATGTTCACTGCATTTAATAATGGTGTTATTATGTAATTAAGACTACAACACTTTAATAGTGTGATGGGAAAAACATTTCTTCATGTTTCCTGTATGCTTTTCTCATAACCATTATGTCTGATGTGCTTTAACTCAGTCTTTAATATATTTATAACATTTGTCTGAGACACCTTGGTGCTGTTATCCCACAATTTGAGGTTGGTAAACAGACACACAAGAAAGAGTAGGTCAGAGAGCACCTAAGGAAAATTGACACCCACAAATACTTGGGCCCTGATGGGATGCACCCCAGAGTGTTGCGGGAACTGGYGGATGTCMTAGCTAAGCCGCTCGCCATCATCTTCAGAAGGTCCTGGAGAACAGAGGAGGTGCTGGAGGACTGGAAGAAAGCCAACGTCACTCCGGTCTTCAAAAAAGGCAAGAAGAAGGACCCRRGYAACTACAGGCCGGTGAGCCTCACCTCCATGCCTGGAAAAGCGATGGAACAGCTCATGCTCACTGCTGTCTCCAGACACGTGGAGGAGAAGGTACTCAGGAGTAGCCAGCATGGATTCACCAAGGGGAAATCATGCTTGACTAACCTGATAGCCTTCTATGATGGAGTGACTGGCCRGATAGATGAGGGCAGAGTGGTGGATGTCGTCTATCTGGACTTGAGCAAAGCTTTTGACACCGTCCCTCACAACATCCTCCTGAGCAAGGTTCAGAAGCATGGGATAGATGTGTGGACGGTGAGGTGGATTAGGAATTGGCTCGATAGCAGAGCTCAGAGTGRTAGTCAGTCATGCGAACTCCAGTTGGAGGCCTGTAGTTCGCAGTGTCCCCCAGGGGTCAGTCCTCGGTCTGGTCCTGTTCAACTTATTCATTAACGGCCTGGTTGAGGGGATGGAGTGCTCCCTGAGCAAGTTTGCTGATGATACCAAACTGGAAGGAATAGCTGATAGCCCCGAGGGCTGCGCTGCCATCCAGAGACACCTGAACAGACTGAACAACTGGGTGATGAGAAAAACCTCATTAAGTACAACAAGGGCAAGTGCATGGTCCTGCACTTGGGGAGGAATAACCCTGGATACCAGTACAGATTAGGGGTTGACCTGCTGGAGAGCAGCCCCACAGAGAGGGACCTTGGCGTTGCGGTGGACGTCAAGTTGACAATGAGGCAGCAGTGTGCCCTGGTGGCCAAGAAGGCCAAYGGGATCCTGGGGTCCATTAAGAAGAGTGTCTCYAGTAGGTCAAAAGAGATGATTGTCCCCCTATGCTCAGCCCCAGCGAGTCTACTTCTGGAGCCCTCTGTCCATTTCTGGGCTCCCCAGTACAAGAGGGATGCAGAGCTGCTGGAGAGAGTCCAGCACAGGGCTACCAGGATGATCAGGGGCCTGGAACATCTGCCCTATGAGSAMAGGCTGAGGGAGCTGGGCCTGTTCAGCCTGGAGAAGAGAAGGCTGAGGGGGGACCTGATCAGTGTCTATAAATACCTCAAGGGAGGGAGGGAGGAGGAKGGGGSCGGCCTCTTTTCAGTGGTGGACAGTGATAGGACTAGAGGAAACGGCCACAAACTGAGGCACCAAAAGTTCCACAGGAACTTAAGAAAACACTTTTTGACAGTGAGGGTGACAAAGCACTGGAACAGGCTGCCCAGAGAGGYTGTGGAGTCTCCCTCTTTGGAGACTTTAAAACCCGCTTGGACGCAGCCCTGTGCCATGTGCTCTAGGTGACCCTGCGTGTGCAGGAGGTTGGACTAGATGACCTCTGAGGTCCTTTCCAACCTTRAGCATTCTATGATTCTATGACATGAATATTGGAGAGACCATTGCTATATAGATCAAGCTTTATGAAAGCATCCTTACCTTAGGAAAGCATCTTTGCCACTTTTAAAATTTAGTAACATATTTCCAAGAAGTGTTAGCTTATGTATTTTTTTTTCTCTATCCATCAATATTACCAAGAAAACAATCATCTCTGAGGAATCCAGAAGGTAATCCTGGTCACTTTAATTAGGTATGATCTAATTAATTCATATTTGAATTGCATGGTGAAGCACTAAGAAATGTTATGTACCTACATCCCTAGTAGACTAGATCTGCCTCACTTACTTCCAAAAAAATGAATCAGGAGAGCAAAATGTTGGCAATAACACAGCTGCTCCCCTCAACTAGTAGTAGCCTAAATTAACCATYAGATCACCACAAAACAGTACAGTGTGCTAACATATAGCATGCAGCTTCTCTCTCCTCAGTAGATTGTTCAAACATGCCCATACTACTGTTAAAATTTCTTCTTGTTGTTTACCTTGTAGTGTTGAAGAGTCCAAATATCACTGGGTTTTTGTTATCCCGAGTTTGTAGCAAAAACACATCCTCTGTAAAATGTAAATGCAATATTATAGCAAAGTACTTTTTTCAGTCCCACAAGAGCCAGTTCGTTGCTTGCTAAAGGTGTGATCTTACTTTACTCATACGTGTTACTTGGTTTCATGTAGGTGTTAAAGTAATCTTTAAAAATAGTAGAGTAAGGCATAACAGATCATAGTGAAGTGTGTATGTATAAAGATTCATATACCTTGGAATCAAAACACTGCCAACTACTTTTTAATGAAAACAAGTAAAATATTTAAGGGTAAGATAAATTATCATTAAGTTCATATTATGGCTTTGTTACAGACAAGTTTGTTACAGACAAGAATATTTACCTAATTCATCAAAATGTGTATCAATTCCATTTCTCCCTGGCACAGAGCAGACTAGCCTGGTTTTGAGGAAAGTGCTCCACTTATTCACCAGCATCCGTTGTCCTCCCATATCATTCTGTGCAGAAAGAAGCAAATGCCATAATTTTGATGAATATGTTCAGAAGTTCAACTCTATAATATGTTCGACTCTGCTGAATTATCCACTCCACAATTATCCACAATGTCAAAGCATACATTTTCAAAACACATGTCCATTTCTGACACTATTTCTCTGGAGCTAGTTTTCACTAACATTGCAATGATCAAGCCCAACTGTTTGAACTGCTATAACCCTTCTATATTTTTCATTTTTGTTAACTGGGTGTACCAAGCACATCAGCAAAAAGCTTTGCTTAGGATCTCAGTGCTYCGCTAGTATCTTGAATCTATATATAGAGTAGTTACAACTGGGACGGAAGGAGATGCAAGTGTCTACATGGTGCTCTAACAATGTCTCAGCAACTCAAAATTATGTCCTTTGTTGTTGGGACTGTACTACTTAGTAGAAGGGCTCTGTGACCTTCAGGTACCATGCTCAAAAGCATACAAAGATTTATGCTCAGGTAGACGGTATAACTGAATGTTGAAAATTGTTTTAAGTTTACAAGACTTTTATCAAAACTTTACTATACTGAAATTAATTAATTAACTCAGTTTTACATTGATATCTTACAAAAACAAATAGAATTCTTCTTTCCTCAGAAAAGTATAAATAGAGTAACATCTTCTGAATTCTCAAGCCTGGTACAGCTCAGTGGAAAATGTAAAAGCTTTAAAAAACATTTATTAATTGTCTTATTATACTCTGTATTTTTGGTATTAGTTAAACCAAATGTTATTTATAACATACAGAGGGAAAGTTAACATTAGTTAGTTAGTGTCCAGATGATAATGCATGCAGAGTTTTGGATGTGTGGAGGAGAAAGGTCTGTAGGATTTTGGTTAAACTATGGTTAGAGATAAAAAATTCACGTGGTTTCAGAAAAGAGGGAACTATTAAAATAATATATTCTGAGATTTAACAGAACATTGGCCACACATCAACTGATGCCATATTTGCCTTTATGATAAGGTAAGGGACTAAAAAGGAGCTTTTTCATTTTTTTCCCATTCAACTAGCGAATAAAGAAAAGAGTCTTACCGCACACACACGTCCTACTCTGGTATAGATGGCATGAGTGCTCGTCTCTGCCTCTAATGCTTTTTCAGTGAAGAAGAAATATACTTTGTTATCATCGTGGTCCTCATTGTCAGGAATCATGTATGAGCCAACAAATTTTGGTTCTTTAAAAGAAAATAAAGATGAGTAGAATTTTAAGTTAATTAAAATATTACTTTCTTCAATTTTTTAAAATCAACTGGTAGCAAGAAGGAAAATAAAATGAAAGAATGAGAGAATTGCTAGTCAGAAATCTACTGTTAGGAAACAGGGTAGTAGAAACAGGTAAAAAAAAAATCATGTGTGTGGATACCTGCATAACATGTGGAAAATATTAGTATTAAACTATTCTTGTAGCTCCAACTCACAAATCAATATTTCATTTTATATGTGAACAAAAAAATGATCTCTTTCCAGCCCTGTTCTCTGGGGTTTATATACTTTAATTTGGGTTAGAATAAATTTTGGCAAACTCCAAATGTCTGATTTGACATACAAATCAGACGAGAATGCCAACCTCAACTTCAGACAAACAGTCTTTTAGATAAAGAAAAAGGTCTGATAGTTCAGCCAATAGATGGTGTATGGTGTCACAGTCAGAAGAAGGTTTGTGTGCTTCTGTTGTGAAATAAAAACCTTCTCAATTTTTCCTTGTTTTAACTTTTCAATGCAAAACTGAAACTGCAAAGTTTGAACTGCGGTCTCTGCTGTCTGCCTTTYAACTTAAAACAAAGTAGAGCAGCAAACAATTTCATCCACAGGACTGGGACAAAGCTTTTACTAGTTTGTTAAATGAGAATGGTATTCATTCTTTTGGTTAGAGTCAGTCAATAAGAAGCAGTCAATAAGACATAAGTATTTTCTAAATTATTATTCTGTATGAAAAAAGTCTTATTTTCAATACATTGTTAGAGAACCTTTGCTTGGTCATTTTCTGAAGGGATTTTCATAGTGAATATAGTTGTATTCTGTAGTTGCAAATCTAAGATATCAAGTGTAGAATAAACTAAATATCTGAGCCAAGTTTTGTTGAAATAATAAAAATAAATAAGTAAATGGTTTAATCAAATTCATCTGCAGTTAAGAAATGTATGTATGGATAACATATTGTTAATTTCTGGTTAACAGAAGTTTTCTAGTCATATAAAACACCTCTGGTTCCATGTTCTTCCTTCTTCTACTTCCTGTACCTTTCAAAAGACGTTCATTATCCGGTTCAGTTCGAATATGTGACATACGATTCATAGTATGAAATAGAGCAGCATCTCTTCCCCAGTAGTCACTGTACAGTCCAGTAAAAAGTTCACCACCTATAGACCATACATTAAAAAAAAACCATTACCTATGATGGGAAAAGACAAGGTTCATAAGTCTTTGATGAGAAGATGAGTCAGTAGTTCTTTGAAGATGTAGACTTTGCTCCAATCTGCATTACAATGCATTTGCATTTGGAAGAGAACGTGGACAAGCATTTGAAAGTTCATTAATGGGTTCAACCTTATTTCCAAAATTGACTCAGTGACTTAGGGATAGATTTGCACACACAAAGGCTAACATCAAACTGCAACGTCAGGCTCCTAAATGGCCTAGGTGACTAGCCCTAGCAACACTTACCATTTATAAACCTTTAAGCATTTAAGAGCATAAAGATCTCTCACTTTGCTTCTGGCTTGGCTTCTGAACAAATTACAAACAGCAATTTGCCTTTGTAGTTAGACATGGGTGCATTAACTGACCAAGCATTAGTAATAATATATTTTACATCCATGTGGGATTAAATTAGAAATCTGTTAGGCCTAATAAAACTAGACAGTTATGGTCACTAGGTGGCAGCAGTATGTTATAAAATAACACAGCAGGCTTAAACTGCACATAAAGAAGAAAATGATTTCCAGTTTTTGGATAATCTGCAGGAATGTTTCAGTGACACAATTTCCTACCTCCTAATCAAAATAAACAYGACTGATCAATTCAAATAACATTTGTTGTCATTTTTTAGGGATTATAACAAAAACAAAAGCTTTGCTCACTGGTTCACTTCAAAGGGTGAATCTTAGTTGTGCTAAGAGATATATACGAATTTAAGGACATCATAAGTCTAAATAATAGTTCTGAAAAGGAGTTTGACAGTTGGGACTGGTTCATAGACCTCTGTTGAGTCAGAGCTGAGTATATTTTTCACTTAATTTTCACTTCCTAAAGAATGGATATTACCTTGTAAAATACATAGTCATGGTTTATTGTAAAATACTGGCAAGTGAAATTAGAAGTAAATATAAATTATTACAACAGTAGAAAATAACAAAAACTAGCAGAGAGTTAAAAAAAAAAAAAAAAAAAAAAAAAAAAAAACCATACCAATGTCTGAATAATATTCTAGGCAATGTTTATAACTAAAACTAATGAATTACATCAGTCATAAATCCCTCTTTAAAGATGCAATCCCTCATTGCATAAATATATCATTTTATTGCATATTATGGTGCAATAATAAAAAACATGATGCTTCTGTCCTTTCAATGAAACATGAAAAAGACATCAATAAGGATTCTTCACATAAGGCTATTGATTAAGATGGACATTTAGGAGTCCTGAAATTCAGAAGTTCTGATATGATGCTTATTCATTCTGATTGGCATATCCAAGTAAACTGTTGATGCAGCAGTAATGCTGATGCACTCCATCATCAGAGTAGCTGCTAAATAATTTTATCTATGACATCCTGGGAGCAGCTCTGAACATCTCAGTCTCAGYTTGATATAGTTCCATGAAATATATTATACAGATATAAAAAACTGATTTTTACTCTAGAGTGCTATTAAAGATGGGACAAAAAATGTGAACAGATAAGCAAAGGTGTCAGGAAAGTAATGAGATAATCCTGATGAGCATGGCTGGTGAAGATGTCAACACAAAAAAACATTCAACATAATTCTGAAAAGTTTTACGCTTTTGACTTTAAGAGGATCTTTGCCTTTCCTCTTCAATAGGCTTATAATCATGTCTTTTTAATCCATATTTAAAATTCCAAACACTGGGGGATTTTTATAGGTGCTTCCATGTTTAGAGGTTACTTAAGRTTGTATTTTGAAACTAGATTTCTAGATTTCTACTTCTTTTTTTCCTCTCWTTTGAAAAGATCTAGTTACTATACAAACATCTCACCCTTATCTTGGCCATAGGTTTTATACTAAGGCTCAGTCATTCTAATAAACTGATATTTTTCAACAACCTTCTATTATAAATTGAGCAATTTCATAGACCTTTTACTACTTCTTCCCTCTTTCAGTAAAGAATTTTCTCCAGGAGGAGATAATTTGTATAAACGTATATTTGAGAATTACTTGTTAAAATCTAACTGATATGTCATCTTGGTTTCCCCAGCTAAAATAACAAAAAAAGACATTAGATCCTAATATTATCCTTTTAATTCAAGAGATAACAGGACACTTTTTAGATATTCATTTMGCTACTATTAATTTTCAGAAAGCAGTTACACCAAAATTTAATTTGGAGCACTTAAAAGATATTTTACCTAATTTATGGAAGGAAAAATGAAATAAGTGCAATATAAGTTTATACCTAATTTCTACTAATGTGTTCTAAGCTAATCTGTGTGCATTATCTGATAACAACAGCAGCTTTGGCTATTGAAAGCAGATGGGATAGCTCATTAGAAATGAAAGCCAAGCAGTTTAAATTCAATTTATGTAAACATGTACATTTTAGTCAACCTGTCTGCCATGCAACATCCGTTCTGTTTCCTGGYGCTGACAATAAATTACCAAAAGTTAATTGTTAATAAACTGAAGAATTCACCACAAGCTACTTTATCATGAGTCAGATAACCTGTAATAAATCTTACTACAGCATGGATATTTAGCTTTAAAGCCAAGTCACAAACTATTGTTTTGTTGTTTTGTTGAAGGAAGCATTTTAACTCAATTGTTGAAACACAGAAAAAGATACATCACAAAAGCTTCTCTTTCTACCTAAAGCAATCTATAGCTATATCTTCTTCTAATTAGGTATGATACAGGTGATGTTTCAAACTGGATAGCTTATAAAATTGTACCAGAAGCATGTAAAAGTTTCCTTGTTAGTCTCACCCTATCATTTGCCACCCTGGTGCAGGCTTAGGTGTATTAATCTGCATTAGTTCTGGAGGAAGATTTTGATTCATTCTGTTAGAGATGCAAAAGACAAAGCTGGGATGTGAAAGCTTGTGTTAACAGGTTTGTGTGATATCTGGTGAAGAACTCATACATTGTCTGCCTCTTTGCGGGAGGACTGAGGCCACTGGCAAACTTCGGAGTGGGCTTCAGGGACATKCTGACTCCATCTCAGCCAGTCTCCTGTGGCTACAGATTCAACTTCTTTTCCTTTTTATTTATGTTTTTTAAGAAAAAAAAAAGTGGAGCTCACAAAAAGGAAGGAGATCTCCATGTTTTGGAAGGGAATGTATGGAGAACTCTTGGGTGCAGTGACAGCTCTGATAAGGGGGACATGGGCTCTGATAATGGGCACATCATGGGCTGAAGTATAACCTCTAGTTGTATGAAGGAGTATCAWTTTCCTTTAAAGTCCACTCAGTCTTAGAAGGTCCAACTTCATTTAAAAAACAAATGTCATTAATACATGCTGTATTTGCATCTTAGTCTTCCACTCTCTTCAAATTTGCATGTGCTAAACTAAAGGAGCTACATTCTACAGTCTGAAACACAACCTGAGGAATTAAAGTCATTTATCTGATAAATTATCTGCCTCCAATTAGTAGAATAGTGGAATTAAAATACAAATTTATTTAGCATATATTTCAATAGCATTTAYTTCCAAATGAAATGAAAAAAAATACCATTAAAAAAGCTGTTATTTTTAAATATTGTTCTGTGATCACTTGAATTTTCCCAGAAATAATTGTAACCAAATTATTTGGAAGATGATTTCACTGGTGAAGATATAATTGTATTCCTAGCAGAAAACACACTTTCAATGAACTTGACATCTTGAGAAATCTCTGTTTCACAGAAAACTATTGGCCTGCTTTGAAACTCTGTTTGTGTCTAAATGATAAGCAGTGTTTGAAAGGTAAATTAAGAAATTTGGGGTTGTTTTTATAATTATGTCTGTCTGTTTTTTACAATTGCATTAGTAATTTGACAAAAAATACATCAACCCTGCTAATCTTACTGCTTTACAAAACTGTTAGCTTTATGAACTAGATTTTATAATCAGTGGATGAGCAAGAACCACCATATATCAGAGGAATAGCTTATATAAGAAATATACTTCAAGTAAAACTATAAGTATCCATAGGACCTCCTGAATTCAGTTAAACTAATGAATAGGCCAGAAACACTAATAATCAGTCGTGAAGTGTTCAGTGGGACWATCTGGCTTCCATTTAAGCAAATAAAATTCACATTGATCTCACAGTAGGAACATGATCAGGTTAATTTATTTACTTAGTTATATCTGAGTAAAGGTTGTGAAGGACTTCAAGATTAGACCATGAGTTTTTCAGGCCTACAGCAAATTCCATGGGATGAATCTTTGTTTCCATGCCGACCTAAGACTGGAACCTGTTAAAACTCACTGAAACAATTTAGAAACAAGACTAGAGGAAAAGCATAATAATCTTTACTTCATGGATTTTGGAAGGTCAGTCAAAGTGCATTTTTATTTCTAATTCTTTCATGACTACTTGGTCAAGAATTTGAGGAACAGTATTTGATAATGAGCAATATTTTGATGAACTGCTATAATTTGAAAATTTTGACATTATTAGTGGAGATTTTTCTTGTGTTTGGTGATGYAAAGCAATGAATAAACCTTGCCAGTAAAAATTTGTCTGTCACTCATGGCCAATACTTTCCCATTGCTTTGGATGACCTGTATCTTTTTTTGTTCATATTTGGAGACTAGCTGTCAGATTTTAAGATCCAATTTTAAGGTTTGAAGTCAAAAGTAAAGGTCAACAAGTCTTTAATTCCTAAACCATTTTTATCCCTGAAAAGTTGAAAATTTATGATTGATCTTTGAGTACTTTTTTTTCCRGCACTCTCTTTCAGCAACTATTCCTTTTGAATGCTCATTTTTCACCGTGTTTATGTTTCCTAAAAACACAAAGCTAATGTGTTACTCCCTAAGTGCATGTAAATTTCGCCCTTTACTTGCTGTTCCAGTGCTTTTTCAGTCAATGCACTATAACACCATTACGGCTGTATGTGCTTTATCTCACAAAATGTTTTCAGGAACACATTAAAGAGTAAAAACATGTTGCTTGCTATACTACAGTTTACAAGGTCCCAGCACTTCTGTGACATACTTACCAGAAAAACACAGTGGAGCACTATCTCTGCACAGTTTTCTGACATTGAAAGACTTAGGCTGAATTTCATTTTTTGAAGTATCAAGCACAAAGCCRGCCCTCCTAATAGATTAATCTATTCTGGCTAGCTTTGTTAGAAGGAGATTTTGAAAATATTTTCTATCTTGAATTTTAAAAAGCTATATTTTACATAAACAACAAATGCCTCAGATATGAAAAGTTAAACCCACAAACATTTTTATAATTTTGCCTACTATTCACATTAAGTGTATGACAATAAAAATATTAATTATTGTGCATTTCTCACAGGTGTAAAAGACTAAGCTGAACATACAGTTATGCTTTGAAGGAAAGCAGGAAATTATTATTCCTTAAAAGTACATGACAACCAATTACCCCTGCAGAATGGCACACATAATATACCATCTACTCACTTTTATGAGACATGCTTGCTGAAGTTATCGCTGCTGGAATGTAAAATTAATGTAGGCAGCACCATTAGGATTAAGTCTGACAAGTGGAAGGCTGCAACGGAAGGCTGACAACACCTTGGAGTGCTGAAGAAAGAGACTTTAGCACGACAGATTGACAGGACCATGAAGTTTGTGACATAAAGATCATTACCAATTAAGATGGAGGTGAAGGAAGAACTGGGGTCAAAAGGGCACCTGCCTCGTCCTCTCTCAAATTTGTGCGATTCCAGTTGAAACAGATGATCCTTTAAAAAAAAAAAAAAAAAAACACAGAAAAGAGCATAAATCCTACAGGCAAATAATAAAAAAAAAAAGAGAAGTCCTTAGAGACAAGCTTAACTTAGCTTAGCTTTGTTCTGGATAGACTTCATTAGGGCGAAAACAAAATTTTGGTTGCTTACTGACTTTGTTGTCATGGAAATTTCTACAAAGCACCTTTGTGTGTGCACTGCCCCAAAAGAGTCATTAAAAAACGCACTAAAATTAGTGATTAATTTCTATAGCAATAAGGAGTAAAGATTTCTCTATCTTTTCTCCAAATTAGCTAAACCTTAGATAGATATCTAACCTTGGAATGTATTTTCCCTTTTAAACATTTTTTGAGTATTTGTTTAATATATCATGCTGTTATCTTCTGTTGGCGTCTGTGAGWCTTATATATATATTCTCCATGCAAGTATGTTTTAGGAATTAATCCCCGATTACAGCTTTCAGAGCAGAGTCTCCAATGATGGTTTTCAGAGCAGATATGATTTTTGCAGTGAATATACCAGAAAATTTGTGTTTTATTACTTTTCTGCATTTATATGAAAACATATAGCTAACTAATAATATAAAAAAAATCATAGTGGAAAGAAAAGAGGAAAAAAGCTAGAAAAGATAGAAAGCTAACCTATGAACACTGCATAAAAGTATGCCACCCATCAAACCTGTGACTAATACACATTATGATATTTTGACAGCTCCTGTTCCACGTCACAGTTTCACTCCAAAGGCTAATGAAACACAGATTATGTCAACATATCAGGGAAATTCAACCTAGCTACTCAAGTAAAATAATCTTAGACTCAGGTTGTTAATATACTAAAGGCAAATGTCTTGTCACGCATAATATTACATTTGACAAGACCTCAAGTCACCTAGAATTTTAAGGCAGTTTTAGTGTTAATAATCACAGAAATGTGGTTTTGTGTCTACTCTCTGTAATGCCATAATGTCCCTTTCCTTCCAGATTACTCAACTAATGTCTACCCATCCCACTCAATAATTTACAAATCCTGCCCCTTCCCAAGCAAGTGCAGTTGCTCCTAGAGCAAAAGTAATATTGCCCTTTCTCCTGTACTTTCACCTGTGCTAGTTATGATTATCTAAGACAAATATGAAATGCAGTCTAGGAACAAACAAGCAAGAGATATTGTCCATTGCATGAGATGGAAAACTGGCAGGAGAAACAATAATAAAAATTGAAAAGAACTACTGAAAGAAAAAGATATAAAGAAAGTGGTAAAATCATCTTTTACTTTCCATTTTCTAATAAATAATGGAATTTCTCTGCGTGTTTATTTTAAATCAATTTATTTTGAATTTGTAATAAGCCCCTCCAAAACTTCAACATTGTTCAGTCCTTACTCCTCAGATCAGCCAAGCTGATGTGCCTGCTGTCTATTCCCATCTGTCTAAATAATACATGTGATTTCATTGCAATTTCTGGTGGAAAAGYGTGACTCCCATTAGTTGGAGAGTTTCCTTAAAATTGGGATGTAACCCAGAATACAGCTTCAGAAAAATGAAACATCTGTTTTGTATGTACATGAAATAAAAAAGCCATTGCAATGTAAAAATAACAAGCAAAAACCCAGGATGCATTTATAACTATTAAAATCCTTGATGTATGAAGTTACTCAGAACCTCATCTTTCCAGAGGATCTCTGTTGGCCGAACTCAGGTCTATTATCCTGCATGGTGACTAATGTTAAAGCTGAAGATAGTGCAACAGAAAATAGTCATCTTGGGTAGAGAATGGTGTTGCAGGCATATTGTTTTCTGCTGAATCAGCTTCAGTTATACATCTGTAATAACTATTCCCGCTGTACTGCTGGTTGAAAGTCAAATAAAGAAGAACTATCTTCCTGAGTGTGAAAATTTCAACACTATTTCATACTTCTTAAGCATTGCATACCGGTTCTGTTTCAAAACTAAATACTATAATATTTTGGTTCAACAATAGAAAAAGAACAGTTAGGAGAACTCAGAAAGGGAAAGGAAAAAAAACTTTGAAAGCAGACAAATAGGCTGGGGAGTCATTATTGTTATAAAAAGTGATTTAATAAATTATTTCTAAAAATAGCTCAACTACTTGATTCTCTTTCTTCACTAAATAGACATTAAAATAAAACTTATTTATGAAAAAGCTTCTCCTCTAAGGTACTGAAGTATTAAGGTAAACTATTTGTCAGTATATCAGTTGAATAAATAAAAAAAGAAAACACTCTTTTTGAAGGGAATATTTAGAACTAAGTGAGTTCTAAAGAGTAGTTACATAGTAGGTTTTTCTCTAGTCCTGATCACTTTTTCTCAAAATGAAAGATAAAATGGACTTGTCAATGAAAGGAAAAACAACAAAAAAGAATATGGAAAAGCATTTTTGATCAAATGTACAAGATGAAGTGTGGAAACATTCTTTGAATTGGTGTTTGAAGAAGCTTTATTACCCCTGCTTTGTGGATCATGTTCTATCCAGCATAAGGAACTGAATATTTTGTACTGGAAGACAATAGATCCCACCTATCTAACATAAACCACATTTCCTCTTCAGATGTTCCCAAAATAAAACTCCAGCAGGAGTATTCATCAGTGAAACTTGACCAAGTATAGCAATCTTCCAGAAGACATGGATTTTGTGTCATTTTAAATCAAGATATAGTAACAAGATGAAAAAGGGAAAAAGTCAGCAATGATTTTCACCAAGATGTTGAGATGAGTTTTCACGTCCAAAGCCCAAAGTCAAGCTTACAAAATAACAGATTTTTTTCTGCTAAGGTGCTGCCTGAAACCACATAGTTCTCCATGATGTTCCACACAGGGAAGTACAGCGCATGTCCATAATATAGATGGGAGTTGCGGAGTTACTGAGTATGTTTTCTATGGTATCAGCAATGACTGATTTGTTATGGAAACTATACTACCAAGAGAAGTGGATCAAATATTTCTGTGTGCACTGTCCTTTTTTTATCTACAAATATCTGGTATCCTTTAAGCACTAACAACACTGCAAATGCTGATTCTCTGCTATAGAACCACTCCTTTCAGAAGCGCGAGTACATATTCCACAGGAGAAATCCTGAACAGAAATAGTAAACCTTATTATAAACATGAAATCCACACACAGGACTACTTTACRAAAACAGTTTTTTTTAATTAACCAATTAACACCTCTACTATTACAGAAAACTTAATTTTTCTGGGAATCATAATGAAATCAATAGTAGAGGTAAACCCATATCCTTCATGATTTGCGATACAAATATACTTAGAGTTAACTATATAAGCATATAATGAAAATATTAGTTATTTTACGTAGTGTCCTATCATTCTCTACATTTTAACACCTGGAATTTCTCAGTAAGAATTGTGGCTTAAATATATAAACCATTACTAACAGGGAAGGTAGACAAAACTTGGATTGTACTGAAACTTGGAGAAGTTTCGAAGTGGATCTCACCAGTTTTGACACAAAGCAGGATGTATATCCCATAAATGCTTGCAGATGCATGAAACTGTCTGAAAAGTCACTGTAAAATGTAAGCAATGACTCCTTCCAAGAGAGATTTTCCACCTTCACCTTTTAAGACAACATACCAAATATTCCATGGTTGCAATAAGTTATTCCTAGCACTGGGGCAAGTAACTGAAGATCAGGTGCTAGATGTGTCAGCTTCCACAGGATGCCAATTTTAAATGAAAGAAGCGTTACACATTAATAATCAGCTTTGAAGGCTAATACTATAATTCTAAACCTTATTGCTATTTGTGACATTGGAATCCTTTAAGAAATGTCAGAAGTAACTGACAGTTTCCTCACAGATTATACAACACAGCAATTCAACATTGCCATTTTACAGGCACTTTTCAGTGGTTAGGGTGAAAGTCACGCAAATAAACATAAGGGGAACTGGGAGTGGAATTACTAATTTATACTTGCAGTTTGGAAAAAAAAAATGGTGCTCTGGGTTGATTTTTGATGCCTGGGGCTCAGGAAACCCAATACACTTTCAACTATTATTAAAATAATCATGTAGTTTAGAAAGAAAAAGAGTATATGTCTAAAGGCAGCAACCGTTTTACCATTAACTCAATGTGAATTGATAATCTTAGACAATGAAGAAGAATGTAGGTTATAAATAGTAATGAAGAAGGTCAATCAGACCCATTAAAATTTAAAGATTGCATTTAACTTTTGTTGCAGAAAATTGCTTTTTCTCATGCCAAGTGCTGTTTTGCTATGGTTCAAGAAAGCATTTGTGCATGTATTAAATTTAAAACGTATGCTTACTTTTAATCCTATTCAGCAAAGCACCTATGCCTATTCTCAACTATGTCTATGTCTTCTCACTAAAACAAGGACTTATAAAAAATTGTAAYTGGTGTAATTATCATTACACCGAGACATTATTCTTGGATTTACTACTTCAGTAAACTGAATTTATTTTCTTCCAAATATCATTGTAAAAACAAAAACAAGACAATAAACCAAGTCATGGGAAAGTCTGTGTTTTAAAACTTCATTAAGTTTGGCACCCAACAAGGATGTAACCTTACAGCTTCATTGATGATCTTTAGTTCCATAAGAATTCATGTAATTCATGAAATCTCCAAGTCAGTAACACACCTTGTTGTATAAAAAAAAGACTGTTTAAAAACATTTAACAGGTGAGCAATTCCTACTTGAAAAAAAACATGTATTGCCCACATATATTCTGATTATCCCTTACATATTTTTTAAGGCTGGTTTACTCTTAACATTGCACTTCCATAAACTTAGCAATTTGCAGACCCATGAGCACTCGCACATACTCACTTAACCTAAGGAACCAAAGAACTTCTTTCAATGTGATTTCATTAAAATGCATCAAGTAACAGATTTGTAGAGCATTTTGTAACTGATTTCTTTTCTGATGTGAGAAATTAAATATTGAGTGAGCCCAGAGAGATTTTGCGACCCCAGTAGACAATGAAGTGCAGTTCG